GAGAGAGAAGCACGGGAATCAGAAGAACCTGCGCAATATACACACTGAAACAGCTCTTGGAATCGAAAGTCTTCCTTTCCTACCTCATATCAATATCAAGCTATGAGTAACTTCGCTACGGTGGGTACCCTTCGGGGCTTAGTCCCACTCTGTCCCATACCTGAACTCAACTCTCCAAAGGGAGACCCAGTTTACTGCTACCACCTCTTAGCTTCTGCGGGTTCCTTGGGAAAACGACTTGCCAATAATACGGATACGGAAGTTTTAAATGGATAAAATACATACGGGTACATATACGTGTATTAAACGGAGTATTTACTAACTATGTCCAACGATCGAAACCCCTTGGATCCAACACGACCATTAATCATTTGGGCACTAACCGTTTCAAAATCTATTAATTTAGTTTATGTGTGAAAATGATCTTTAATACATGAGCTAGTTCAACTATTTGTTTATATTTTGCGAAATAAAATTTATGGTAGAAAATTTTCAAATATGTAGAATGTTTAAAAGCTACGCTTTTACCTCTACTTTTGCGCTTCCACTTTTACCCATCATTTCGCTTTTACATAGAAGCTAGACTTTGACTTATTGATTGCAACGCTTTTACCTCTGTTTTTGCGCTTCCACTTTTACCCATCATTTCGCTTTTACATAGAAGCTAGACTTTGACTTATTGATTACAACCTAGTTTTAGCCTATATGCACCTAAAATAAAATATAAAAAATGTAGTGTAAATATGCCCTTATTTATTTACCAATGATAATTTCCTAGTTTATAATAGTGATTTTTTTTGCTACCACGACTTGTGTTAATCTTAAAGTTAGAGTAACTCAGAAAAATCAGGGGCTAAAAATTCCACTACACATTCAGCAAACTGTTCCAACCACTCTACATTAACCATCATTCTGTCCAGTTTTCGAGCAATAGGTGTATCCTTCTGATGATTTGACCAAGTAAATAAGGGACCAGAAGCCTTATGATCCAGTAGTTCCATTTGAGCAACCCAATCTCTGAATGCCAGCATACTACTAGAGATAGACACCGAGTTAGAAGCTTCAGCAGGGTCTAAAATGGCATTGAAATCACCACCTACAGCCCAAGGAAACCCCTGAACCTTCCACTGATTCAACTGCTTATACGTCACCTCCCTGCATCTCTCATCATTAGAGCCATAAACAACAGTAAGAAAAAATTGAGCCCCCTGCTTCATTGTAACTACCACATGGATAAAATTTTCTTCAGTGGCTAACACACGGAAGCCCCTGATTTTTCTGACCATTGTGGTATTTTAATCACACCGTGTGTGCCTGAAAGATCTTATCCGAAGCCATTTAGATTCTTTGACATGTGGTTAACTCATAGTTCCTTCTCTTCGACGCTTGAGTCATGCTGGAGGCAGGAAGTGAGGGGTTCAGGTTTATTTGGTGTGAAGCAGAAGTTGTACCTTCTGAAGGCTGAACTCAGGAAGTTGAATAGGGATGCATTCTCTGATATCTCCAAAAGGGTCAGTGCCAAAAAGTCTGAACTTATTGATAAACAGGTACAGGCTCTTCAAGCTCCCTCTGAAGGTCTGTTTGCTGAAGTTCAGTTATTGACTAGTGAATATGTCGAGTTGCAGAAAGCTGAGGAGAGCTTCTTTAGACAGAAGTCCTGTGTTAACTGGCTCACTCTTGGTGACTCTAATTCAGGGTTCTTCCACAAAGCTGCCTGTATTCGAAATGCAAAAAAGAAGATTAGGAAGATTATTTCTCATGATAATGTTGAATTGACTGATATGAAGGACATTGCAGATGAGGCTGTCTTCTTTTACAAGGATTTATTTGGCTCCATTAATAGGGATGTTATAGTGGATTCTTCTGTAATTGAAGGATGTTTGAGTGCAAAGCTTTCTGAGGATGAGGGGAGGACACTTTGTAGTCTGGTTACTGGAGAGGAAATCAGGCAAGCCCTTTTTGATATGCACCCTGCAAAATCCCCAGGACCGGATGGCTGGACGGCGGGGTTTTTTCAAAGGTGTTGGGGGATTCTTGGGCCTGATATAATCAAAGGTATTCAGACCTTCTTCCTGGAGGGATCTCTTCCCAGAGGTATGAATTCGGCATCTTTGACTCTTGTTCCAAAAGTTCCTAATGCTGACAAGCTCTCTGCTTTTAGGCCTATTGCCTGTATCAATGTGCTCTATAAGATTATTGCAAAGGTCTTAGCTAATAGACTTAGGGTTGTTCTTCCAGCACTTATAAGTCGTAATCAGTCTGCCTTTATAAAAGGGCGTAGTATACTGGAGAATATTTTAATGGCACAGGAAGTTGTTCAGAACTATCACAGGAGTCACTTGTCTTCTCGGCAAGCTATTAAAGTAGACCTTAAGAAGGCCTTTGACTCAGTTCATTGGGATTATCTACTGACTGTGATGAGGTTAATGGGATTCCCTGATACCTTTGTTAAGTGGATCTCTTTCTGTTTAAGTTCAGCTTCATTTAGTATCTCTGTTAACGGGAGTCTTTTTGGGTTCTTTACTGCTGTAAAGGGAGTCAGGCAGGGGGACCCTCTTTCCCCCTACCTCTTCACTATCGCTATGGAGCCTCTTACTGGGCTACTGAACAAGGCAGCTGCAGAAGGTAAAGTCCCCTATCACCCTCTATGCAAACAACTTGGGCTCACGCACCTGTGCTTTGCAGATGATCTCTTAATATTTTCAGAGGGTTCAGGGCAGGCTTTATATGGTGTTAGGAAAATTCTTGACGCTTTCTATCAGCTTTCTGGGTTGCAATGTAATCCAGACAAGTGTGAGGTGTTTTTTGGTGGTTATGCTCACCAGTTTAAAGCCAATGCTCTGCAACTTTCTGGTTTTCGAGAAGGACAACTGCCTGTTCGTTATTTAGGCTTGCCACTGATCTCTGGCAAATTGTCCAAGGCTGAATGTGATGTACTGATAGATAAATTAACTCGTCGAATTAGAGGGTGGAGAGCTCAGAAGTTGTCTTATGCAGGTAAGATCCAGTTGGTGGATTCGGTTTTATACGCTTTAGTGCAATACTGGATGTCCATTTTTATTCTCCCTAAGAGGGTGCTGAAGGCTGTTCAGAAGATCTGTTCCAATTTTCTTTGGCATGGAGATGGAGAAGGAAGAGCTAAGGTTGCCTGGGAACTGATTGCTCTGCCTAAAAGAGAGGGAGGCCTTGGCCTGAAAGATTTAAGTGGCTGGAATGTTGCTTGTTTAGCCAGGCTTATATGGTTGTTATTGATTCAAGGGGGAAGCTTCTGGGTGGCTTCGTGTAACAGATTTAGATTAAGAGGGCTCTGTATTTGGGATGTCAAAGCTACTAGCTCTGGATCTTGGGTGTGGAAACAACTACTCAAAACCAGACCTTGGCTCCAATTCAGGATGTTCCTCGAGGATGATGGCAGTGTCTCTTGGATGGGGAAGGCAATGAGGGTTTTTTCTGTTTCTCTTGTCTGGGATGCAATTCGAATTAAAAAACCAGAGGTGCCTTGGTGGAGAATAATTTGGGGTCGCTTTGTATTACCACGTAACAGATTGATTGTTTGGCTGATAATTTTAGACAGGATTGCCACCCGAGATAAGCTTAAATCCTAGGGTGTGACAGCTGATGATACATGTCCTCTGTGTTCTTCAGCTAGTGAATCCAGACAGCACTTATTTTGTGAATGTTCTTACACTTTAACTTTTGTTGTTGCTCTTCTTGGACAGCCTGTTTCTCTCCCTCAGATCTGGACTGACATGCTTGAGCATATGATTGGGAAGACTAGGAGAGGATCTAGAGCTGGACTGGTTGACTGTTCAGTGTGGTGTTGGTGCTTGAGTTTTGTTTGGAAGGAGCGGTGTCGACGTTGTTTTGGTGGATGCTCTTCTTCCCCTGAAACCCTTGCAGAGATGTTGAGACGAGAGATCTGTCTTTATGGGTTTGGTAATACTGAGTTTCAGCAGGAGATTAGCAAGATTCCAGCTTATAGCAAGTTACAATAGATAGCTTTTCCTTGTTGTCTTTTTTGTCCTTTTGATTAAGTTGTTCCCTGTACGAGCTTTTGGGCATTCTGCCTTTGTATTTTTCGAGACTTCTTGCGCTTTGCAAAGAAGTTTGAGCCTAATGGAATCTGCTAATTACCGGGGGAAAAAAAGTTAGAGTAACTCGAATATTTAGTCTAGTGAATTTAGGTTGTTGATCAACAAAAAATCAAATTCGAGTTTTAACACGTGAAATGATCCATTAATTATCTTCACAACTACAAGGTCGACCGTTTGATTACCCCAATCCAATTAATTGTCATCTCTACTCATATCATTATATGTTGTCGAATCACACACATGAGCACTCCACAACAGCGAGATATACACGATAATATTTTAGTCAGACGGCTCATGCTCCTTATTGTTGGAGCTGGACAATATCAGCAGCATAACCACATTGATTTTGAACTATTTGAGGCGAAGTTGAGGAAAAGAAAATGGGATCAAATCAAACCAAGGTTGTGAATCCGCGGGTTGACCCGGATCCGGTCGAGCTAGTGGGTCAAGGGTTAATGGGTCAACTGTTTTAGCCCGGTTTGGCCCGGAAATATGGAAAAAGTCATTATATTGTACTTATCCTCATAAATTATATCAAATCTTATCTAACATATGAGTTATAACATATAATATTACACCAAAATAACATATCGTACTTAGATTCAACATATAGTGAAAATTCACACACACTTGTATAACATAAATAGGCGCATTTCGCAAACCAAAGAAATAAATGACACAATTTGACCTCCAACCCAGTACCTTATAGCGGTCGGTCCGATGAGTGCGTACGACCCGTTTTTCTCACCGGGTTAGGGTCAAAATGGGTCGACCCGCAGGTCAACCCACGGGTTGACAACCTTGAATCAAACACATATCCATAGACACGTTATCCACAAAAATTAGGGAAGAAAGATAAGAGTACAAAAAGAAATAAAATTTGTACAACATGATCACGACCACTTATAAGAATGCGCCGAAATCTAATATCCACAGAAGGTGAGGAGAATTTTGGACTTCTCCTTTCTCCGGTAGACTTGGGATTCTTCGTCGACGGCGACGGCGACAGCTAAGGCGCATACTTCCTCTAATTCACAGCTTTCATCATAAGCCTCTTTTTCTTCATTTCTGTTCTTCGACACTTAAAGAGCTCCGAATCCTCCTTCCCTCGCTCCAGCATTCAAGTTTCTTCCTCTGTCACATGAGCTCTGCTGCGGAAGAAGATAAGGTTGCCGCCGCCGTTACCGATTCCAATTTCCCTCCGGCTGCATGAGTTGGCAGGAACTCTGTCACTACAGGTATTCTTTCAAGTGCGGCTGCCTGACGCATTTGCTGAGGTTGAAGGAGCTCCAGCTCTTCTTGGTTTGGCTATGGTCCGACTCGCTCTCTCAGAATCTCTCGCTCCCAATCTCCGCCTCCTATCCGCGGCCAGCGGCGCGGCGGCTGTATCATCGCCACCGCCGCCTCGAATATGCTATCGCGTCGCTGCTCGCCGTTGGTTGACTCCTGGTTTCCGGTCGCCTGCTTCTTGCAGGTAATTAATTGGTAGTTTGTAGTTTGATTTACACATGTTTTTCTTACTGAGTTCAGATTATTAGGGATTAAATTGACTGTGGAAGCTGGAATTTGATTTACAGGATTAGGAATTTTCAGTCAAAGTGTTCGAATGTGAATTCTGATGTCCAGTTCAGCCATGCCGTGGCTGAGGATGAGTTCTTCACGAATGAGGGTTCTTCGATTCAGGGAGATTTCTTGCCCCCTATTGTACAGCTCAATACTGAGATTCTTGAGACTCCAAGCTTTGGATTGTTGGTGGAAACAACTGATGCGGATGGACTTTTGTTGGCATTGCCTGTATGTTGCTGTCTTATCTTCATTTATGCTCATCTACCCAGTTGTCTGTTATTATTGAGTGCTGGCTCTCATCATTTATTGCTACTGATTTCAATGAACACTCTCAGGTTTTATCCGAGGAAGAGCAGAATGCTCTAGCAGCTACCCCGGCTCATCCGGCTGGATTATATGGTACTCAGAACAGAACTTTGATGTATTGCTATCTTTAGGGGTACCCAGAGGTTTTTTCCCCTTAAACACACGATATCATGTACTTTGGAGTTGTATAGGTCTGCAATACATGATTTTCATACCAAATCAAACATGTAAAACAATTTATTTGGAAATCAGGGGTAGAATCTTGAAGTTTTTAAGTCCTTTACAGTGATGTGACCCTCTTCATATACTCCTAGAAGCTACCATATCTTGCCTAGAAATGATGTTCTTCTGGTGGGCTTCAGATGAACTGATATATAAGGCTTGTCTTTTAAGATTTCTGGACTCGTCTAGTGGGTTTCTAAGATGTGGTTGTTTGTCTCCAGCATTTTATGCCAATGTAGTAACTGGGAACATCGTGGAACGTTTATGGGAGTTTGCTTGGCCTTCTGCTATCGCACTGATTCATCCGAGCCTTCTACCAGTGGCGGTCATGGGTTTCTTTGCTAAGGTTCTTACACTTCGAACAAGATTGAATGATTGTACTTATTCCAAATTATGTTGTTGGGGATGCTTTCTCACTAATACAGTGCCTTAAACAGTCGGCTTTACTTGTTGTGGGTCCTTTGCTTGGAAAATTTATGGACTATTATCCCAGAGTACCTGCATATATTAGCCTGAATGTGGTCCAGGTAAATTTTCAACAAAGGTTTACATCCAACGCTTTGTTTGAAATGCTGGCTTCCAGTTCAGATCCACAATGGTCAATTTTTGTGTTTCCTTCAGGCAGCTGCTCAGGTATTGTCTGCTACGATGATAATTCATGCTCACACAATGGCTACAACTTCCTCGTCTTCTGTTGTTCTCCATCCATGGTTTGCTGTGCTGGTTTTGGCTGGAGCTATCGAAAAGCTATGTGGGGTAGCATTGGGGATTGCTAATGAACGTGATTGGGTTGTGCAGGTTAATCGCTTTTTTTCAAATTTTCTGCTCCATTATGGCTATTTTTCTGTCATCCTTGTTACAGGAGATAGCTCACCACCTCAATCAATTTCCTGTTCTGAGCAGCTAGCTGGGATAAGTAGGCCCATTGCACTCGCACAAGCAAATGCTGTTCTTGGTAGGATCGACATGCTCGCAGAGGTATTCCCTGGATTTGTAGCATATGAGTTTTGGATGAAAGGTGATAGCTAATTTGAAATGGCCATATGCAGATAGCTGGGGCGTCAATGTTTGGAGTTCTTCTTTCCAAATATGGTCCAGTTATGTGCCTGAAATTTGCTTCTACTTTGATGATTGGTTCACTGCCACTGATGGTACTCATCACACTTTTCCCATATTCCTTGATCAATTCTCGAGTCCAGTGGTATAATTAGTTTGAAAATTGTTGACATTATTCTCAGATTGGGCTCACATATTTAACGAACAAGTTATCAAGTGGGGTTCTAGACAATACTAGATCTTTCCATTCTTGTAGCAGAGACTCCAGCGGTAGTCACCATATAGGTAAACACAACTTATACTACACTTTTTTTTTTTGGCCAAAAAGGATCCATTGTTTGATAGAGCAACCTCTGTTTGGAAACAGTGGATAAATGTTTGGAAACCATCAAGCTTGGATGGAAGGAATATATTCAGCAGCCAGTTCTCCCTGCAAGCATTGCCTATGTGCTACTGTGTTTCAATGTTGTACTTGGTCCTACTTGTTTGATGACAGCGTTTTTGACTCAGAGAGGTATGCCTCAGCCTATAAAATTGTTATAGTTTATATTATCAATGCAATTTCACTATAATTACTGAGAAAACGATCTGGATGCGCTTAACAGGTGTGAGTCCCTCGATAATTGGCGGTTTCACTGGACTCTGTGCTGCCATGGGGGTTGTAGCAACATTCCTCGCAGCCAATTTGGTCAAGCGATTAGGCATTTTAAAGGTAAAACAATCTTCCTGCTCTCCACAGTTGGTTAGAGACAATGGCTAGTTATGAGTTGTGACCTCACTTATCCACTGCTTTTGTCCCCAGGCTGTAGCTTTTGGATTAATATTCCAGGCTTCATTGCTTCTCATGGCTGTTACAGTTTATTGGAGTGGATCTCTCTCGCACCAGAGTTCTATCATTTTCTTCTTGGGCTTAATTGTAAGTTCTTCTAACCATATGTTTGTTAATAGGCCAAATGCCTAAATGGTCTCTCAACTATAGGGTTTGTTACAAAACGGTCACCAAACTACCATCGTAACAAAATGCTTACTGAACTTAGTGATTTGTGAACAAAACATATGTTCCATTGTATTCCTTCTATTCTGCCATCAGCTCACATGAATCAACATGCCAAATAGGTTCACCTTGTCTCCAAAATCACCCAATCAGCACCCCACATGCTTGCTAAACTAAACCCTTTCCAAGTCAAGGATCAGTTGTATCTCAGGTTCGTGTTTTTGCTCTCAAGTGAGAGCCAGTTTTGTATGTATGGCTGAGTTGGAACTGTCAAGTGTTTGAATGAGGTTCTGATCAAACAATTTTGGTTACATGGTGAGCCTATTTGACATGTTGATTCAACGGTTCTGATCCCAGATTTGATGGAGTAACTGTTTCGTTACAAAATTACTAAGTCTAAGTGTCGAGACTGAGTTGGATCTCAGGTCGTGGTTTCCTCATAGGTTGGGAGTCAGTTTTGTGTGGCTATGGTGGAAATGGTAGGATCGAGTGGGTGCATGGGGTTGCTGATCAGGCAATTTTAGCAACTTGCTGAGCCCGAGCATTTTGATAAATTGGCTCAGTTAAGCCAATGCCAGATCAAATGAGTGACTGTTACATAACAAAATCACCTTCTCTAGTTCGCATATTGTTAAGATTTGCAGTTTAGTCATGGCATCTAACCAGGCAGATTTGTTGTTAGCGGCAGTAAAAAAGGGTATCATTCTAACAGAACCTATGTATCCTCCCTGAAAGATTAAACCAATTCGTATTTCCCAGGTACTATCAAGGTTGGGACACATGTCAACTCAAGTTGCAGGGGCACAAATTCTTCAGACAGGGATCCCATCATCGAAAGCAAACCTGATAGGGATAACCGAGGCATCAGTCGCAAGCCTAGCGGAGTCGTTGATGCTCGGAGTGGCGATATTAGCAAACGACGCTTCCCATTATGGCATGCTGGCATTGCTCTCGGTGACAGCAGTCGTTGGTTCGGCTTGGATTTTTTGTGGATGGGCGATGAATCCAACTCCTGAACAAAGGCGGCTCTTCTCTTCCTAACCCCACTCCTTGATTCCTGAAACAAAATGTAAGTATATAGGCAGCAACATTGTTTATTCAAATACTGGGAAGAAACCTCCCTCATTTCATTTGTAGACACCACACACTCTTTGCACTCACAGCTATCCAAGATCAGAAAAGAAAAAGGGTTCAATTTCGGAACTTGAGAGTTGAATGCAATTTACACAAAGCAATGTCAGCTTCTTCGCGAGAGGTCTGTGGTGTAAAATAGTAGAGAGCTAGCTAGCTAGCAGCATTGCAACCAGTTGTTGTAAAGCAGAGAAGTACAGTTATTGAAGCAGTCATCGATTCGAAGATTCTATCCTCATCAGTCAACAGTTTTTCTTCCTTTTGATTTCGGTTTTCATGTTTAAGAGCGAAAGCACATGTTCATCGTAAGAGCTGTAATTATCTCTTTGGTGTATTAGCGTCTACATCAATGATTAACACTCCTAGTCTGGTCGTGACGAAACTACAATGGCCTTTGCATACGTGATATTAATATTATACGTCCATTGGGTGTTGGGCTTCTCGGGTGGATTGATTTCTTCTTCTTCGAATGACATGATTTTATGAGTATCCGATTAATTTTACTGAGTTGTAAACAAAGTTGGAAAGTAGTTAGAATTAGTTGATCGTAAATATTTATCACTAAAAGATACATGTATGATTAATTACCGGTAGATAGTTATTGTAACGTTTGAAATCACACATATAAAATAAGAAAAAATCGATGTTTTCTCGTAATTTCGATTTCAAATCGATACCGGAGTAAATGGGTAAACAAAATGGAATTGGTCTCATAAAATCGACATCGATAGTTTATACTTTATATGATTCAACTTCCCAAATGTTGCCCTGACAAGTGACATCCCTCAAAAAAAAAAAAAGTTGCCCTGACATCTCCACTTCACATATAAGGCTTTAAACCAAGATTTATCAAACCGGTTTAAACTAGTAAGCCGGTAAAGCAAATGATTTGATGTTTATTGGTCGGATCGGCATTTGATCAGTTTAAACCGTTTATACATAATATAAAAATATATGCATATATATGATAAATATTTAATATTTTAACAACATGAATGTAATTTAATAAGCATCACACAATAAGTTAACAATTAATATATTATTTGACCCTAAAAGTTGTGTATTTTTTTTTTTCAGAATAAGATTTGGGAGAGGACTAAAAGGCATTATTTTGTCTAAGAGCGTGAAACTAGTCAATTTGGTCAGAGCACTAGTTTTTGCAATTTTGATGGCTACATGTTTGGAGTAAAAACGTCTTTCTCGAGGTCATTTTCATCACCAATTTCGATCGAATCTAATCAAACCGGGTGCCATGACTCGGCTTGACAACACTGCTTCAAACCCAAGCAATTGGTTGCTATTAAGTGTCAATTCTTTGACTATCTACACCACAAAACACCAAGAACTATTACATATCTTGGCCCAATTCACCGGTCAGAACTCCAATACCCCCATTAGTAGTCCTCTCACCACTCCTCTAGTCTAATTATCCTATGTCCGGTGTAGAGAATTGTAACAGCACTAAATGGGAAAAAGAGCAGAAGAAGCACTAATCAAATTCGAAGGAAAGAAACAAGAAACGAAGTTGAAAAGGAAGTGTCTTTCAACTTTCACCTATTTATTTGCACATCAGTGACTCGCACAGACTACACCGTGAATTAAATCCCAACTAAAACCAAAGTACAAACTCTAGCAAGGTCAATATAGGACAAGTATGTTTTAATTGTGAAATCCGGGTCGGTCCATGTACTCCTACTTCAATCGCTTAAGTTGTTATCTAGCAAATGATTTTGGGTTTAAAACTAAGAAAACTACAAAATAAACAAACAAGTAAAGTAAAAGGATTGCTACAATAAACTAGGAAGTCTAACTCTCTTAACCTTTTGACTAAGGATTGCAACAATAAGCTAGGAGTCCTAGCTCTCTTAACCGATCAACTAAGGGTAGCCAATCCCTCATAACTTTAACCGGCTAGCAAAATAACAACCAATCAAGGTGATGAATTGAGGTTTGAGTCTTGCCCTAATTCGCCCTAGCTAGGTGGCTCAATTAGCCAAGGAATCCAACTTATCAAAGCCTCCTAACAAAAAGCGGTGTTCCCTCTACCTAGGTCAAATTGGCATAGTAAGGGGAAATGAAGAACACCACCCAAACATTCTGAAAATATCTCAATCCTTGCATTAAAACACAAACCCACACACAAAGCATTCAACAAATACAATCTATCACCTATTTCAAGCTAGGGTTCACAACACCCAAGTGAAGAGGTAGGCTATTCCATGGCTAGGCAAGGAAAAACAACAAAAATGAGAGAAAAATCTATGAAGAGATGACAATCTTCCTTTCTTATTGCTTGAATCTCCCTTGAGAGGTAATAATCTTCACTCCTCTAACTTGAAGGAAGCCCAACCTCCTTCTTCCTCCTTTGAATGACACTTTTTCTCTCTAGCTCAGAAGAAGAAACCTTAATCTCTCACTAGAAATTCCCTTTTATTTTGCAAACTAAAAACCTACCCAAAAACTCTCTTTTTTTTTCCTTCTACGGTAGACTATATAGTATGCAGATATTAGCTCGAACATATTCACGAACACGGCTGTGTTCCCTGGCCGTGTTCGCTTCCCAACGCACTGTGTTTTGTCATTTGGAAGAAAAACCCTAGCAAGGCCAGAGAACACGGGTGTGTTCTGGTCGTGTTCTTCAAAACTCGACGAAACGCTCCGTTTTTTACTTACGTCACGCTTTCTTTGTTGATTATCACAGTCTTGGTGACCGTGATAAGTTCTATGCCCGCGAGGCGCACGAAAGTTTTCTGGAACTCAGCTGCTAACACGACCAATGAACACGGGCGTGTTCAGGCCGTGTTCGTAGAATGGCAAGAATCGTCTGTTGCCTGAAATGCTGTCGTGTCCAGGTTGATGGTGATGAGCACTGGCTGGGAACACGACCGTGTTCCTAGTCGTGTTCTCTCTATTGCCTTCTTTTTTTGGCATTCTTGCCTCCATTCGTCCAGAAACTCTTCCTCGACCTTCCCATATGTGCTAGAACCTGAAATGTGACATAACAAGCACAACCTAGCGTCAAATAGGTCGAGGGACGATGATATACTAAGCAAAACGAACAAGAAATGAGGGGTAAAATATGTAAGATAATTGGTGTCAATTAGGTTTATTGTTTTGCTTGAATGGTAGTGTTGTGATATGGTAGAGTTCAAAGTAAGAATTGTTGTCATTTGTGCAACATAAGCTCAGTATATTGCCGCTTCAGAAGCTGGCAAAGAAGAAGTGTGGATCAGAATGTTCATTACTGGACTTGGTGTGGTTCCTAGCATTCTCGACCCAATAGAGCTCTTACGTAACAACAATAGAGTCATATCGCATGCTAGGAAACCCAAGTCTCACCAGAGATCCAAACACGTCTTAGGCATTTTCATTCGCCTAATAGTGGGACGAGCAAGATTCATATTTGAAGATTATCTCAGAGTCAGAGTGCAATCTGACATATCCTCTAACAAAACCACTCATACGACAGAAGCACGATGGACATTTCAAGTCCATGGAAATTCATCAGATAGATGAATATCTATTAGCGCAAGCGAGAGATTGTTAGTTCTGGTGTCCAAAAGCCAAGTCATGGCAAAAGTATTTCAAAACACTTTTGGTTAACTTTCTAATAAACTCAATTAATAAAGGTTGAAAATTGTTTGTTATATCAATTGTGTTGTGTTTGTAACTTTGTATTAGATTAAGAAAATATTGTTGACGGCTTCGAGCGCGAGAAGCCTGGCCTCGATGCAGAATTCCCTCTTTCTTCCTCTCTGAAACCCTAACTCGATTTCAAGCAAGAACAAGTGAATTACAACAGGAATTGGTAAAGGAAACAGGTGTAGTGAAACAACTGATGATTAAGAATTGGATCGGGTTTATTTTGAGATCGGGCCTGAACCGCCAAGCCCAATACACCAGAGAAGTTTAGTTTCTCAACCCAAGCACTAAACGTTTAACCTCAAAGCTGTGCGTTTAGATGAAGCCCTTCTTCTTCCTCGATCACCTGAAAACCAATCTCCCTGTTCCAAACACTCAACCAAGCAAACTTAAACTGAAAACAGAGTATGGACTAAATAACACACGCAGAACTCAACGAGACAAGGCACAGTCGTTTTTACGTGGTTTCCAGAGCTGGGCCAAATGATACCCAACTCTGACTACTCCACGGTCGGAAGATCACGATGATGTGATTTCCGACGATTCACTAATCTTAAGATTGTTTCAGTTACAATGACTTTGACGATCCAAGACCACTCAATCCAGTCCTGGACTGATGATCGATGCAACTTACTCTCCAATTTTCACCTAGCACTCCTGCTACTGTGTTTCTCCTAAACACACACAACTAACCCAACTTCTCTCCAGAAATTGGATTACCCTTGCTTTTCTTATCACCCACACAAGCTGTACTCACAGCGTTCTCTCAGTATGAATGATTCCCGAAAAGTGAGTCTTCATTGCTCCAGAGCCTTCGTCTTATACTTCACCCACTAGCCGTTGCAGCACGCGAATGGTAAGTCTTCTACTTTTGAAATCTTTCCCATAAAAGCTTGCCTTCTGAATTTGATCAGCTTCCATCATATCTTTCTTGCTTGCTCCACAAGGCTGTCCTACGATTTCTTTCCTTTCTTCTGATTCATGACTGACTTTCCTCCAACTATTTATCCTGGATTAATTCCTAAAACATTCCTAATAATGAATTATATAATGTTGGTATGGGTTGACACTTAATACATAGGGGTTAGTATGTGAAGGCAACTAACATGTAAATGCGGCTCGACACATAGTCATCGAGGTTACGTGATGTTAACCAAAGTGTTGGACTAACCCGAAGGTGAGACACGAAGGTGAGACATGGATACGAACATATGAGGGAAGTAATCATGTGATCTCATAGTATTATGAGTAAGTAAGAATCTCTAAACCTGAGTTTATGAGAAGTTAACTGCATCTTGGTCGGTTAACCGTTTAACCATCGGTTACTAACCGTTTAACCGTCAGTTAGTAATTAGCTATGGCTACCAGGAACCGACCGTTAACTGTTTAATCAATTATCGATGTATTCGTTTACCATCTGTTCCAATTCGATTGTCGTTTACACCGCTAACAGGATGACCATTTACCATTTCCTACATTTGAATCATAGCTCTGCTTTCTGTTGGTCTGAGATTCGAGCTTACCTTTTCTGTACTCTCGCCACCTGAAAATGTCGCTATAGTTTCATTCGGATGAACCAAAATGATGTAGCATGTAAATTGATCGTCTCGATTTTTATTAATCATAACATTAGAAGTCTAGTTCTCACTTATGAGAATGCGGCTTACATGATGACCATTGACCAGTCATTTATACACCTTATGTAACCACTCAGGAGACAAGCCATTACTGTCTGCAGTGCATGCATGTCTTGGTAATGGTAATCCAGAAGACATTCATTCGTAGTATGTGTAGCTCCATCCACCTCAAACCATGTCAACTCAATGGTTATAACAAGACACCCTACTATCTTTACCTCAAAATAAATCGCTTGAGAAATGACGATAGAATTTGGTAAAGTATTCGAGGTTCGTACGAGGCAGAGACCATTAGTGTTACCTTACATAGACATTAGACAAACATGAGTTTGAAAGGGTTGATTAAACCCATTACTGGATCCTACGTTGCTACAAACACATAACCTGGTCTACATCAAAAAGATCTACTTCCCCTAAAACTAAGGCACTTACGTACTGCTTACACGCAATTCTCTTGCTACTAACATCCAGCTGCCTTGAGGAAGTTATCATAAGGACTAGCAGGTGGCAGCTTCATTGGCAAATACTGCTCCGTTGAAGTCTTCTGCTTCAGCTCTTCTCCATCAACCTCACTCTTACATGAAGTCTGCACGAAAAGAAAAGAGAAAAATCAGTTTATGCCAGACAGACATGCTTGAGATGTGATAGGAACAGAAGGGTTTCTGTTTCTCCTCTTTAACCTGCCATGGTACTGCAGCCCCACTCACTGTAACTGATGGTAAGCGGTACTTGTCAGCGGCTGGCTTAATAGCTTGCTGATTCTCGTGGGCCAACCAAGTCGAGAGCTTCTTTCTATTAACTGTCCCGAGAGTTTCGCACTGTCTGGTCATCGAGTCATAGGAGAGGGGTGATGTGGAGACAGATGTTCCAGCTACTTGTCCAGCTACCTCGAGGGCCTGGAAAAAGCATGAGACCATCAGCACATTTGTTGGGAAACCCCATCACCAAAAGTTAACGGAAAACAGGTCGTTTACTGATTCTAGTAGCTTCCCGATGCTAATAATGTGCGAGACAGAAGGCGACGAAGGGATTTTGGGGATGAACCGGGACAGGTCCGAGACTGATGCTTCGCTTGTGGCATCATCATCGATCAAATTGCTCGGAACATCCTACAACATGCTAATATTATCAATGCTCGACACTCAACCCTCTCAAAGTTGTAGTTAATGATCACCCAAAAGAGAGCATTACCTCGTCGAATGAGAGTGATTCCTTGGAATGAGAAGCCGCACGGTGGTGGTCAAGTACTGATCGTGGACCAAACATTAACATGTCATCAGGAGCAAATGGTTCTGACAATTGCCTGGCGACTTCATCCGGTTCCATCTTAAGAAGTACAAACGCATATATTAGTAAAGTGAGAGGGCCATAAACTAGTAAATGAATTGGCTTTGATCTGTACCTCAGTGGTGATGGATAGGTTCAGAACTAAGATGTTCATCATAGCACTCTCGGATTCCGATATTCTGCTCTGCAACTCATCTAGCACTGACATAGCCAATGAATTATCTTTGAAGGACCCGAATTCTTTCAAGTCTGCCTGGGGCTTCACATATATCTGAAAATCGTTGCTAATTCCCAAATAAGGATCAACCTGAATTCATCGAGTATATAAACTACAGTCAGCCTTGAGTTAACCCAGATACATGTCAACTGATAATAGATAAATTGCAACACATTTTATAACTCACATCATCAGGGATCAATCGCTTGAGCAAGTCGTTCAACTCAGGAACTTGGTATGTCTTCGCGGTGAACATTAGCATGCTCATTGCTAAGATGAAAACTGATCTTCTGCATGCTGGATGCAACATTCCTGACAAAAGATTAAGTTAAGTAGAAGAATCTACTAGTGGTTGAACTGATAATTCTCTTAAAGCTGAGTAAGCCATGAACAAATCATATGTACGGATCACGGATGTACCATTGTTAGAGTCCAATGACAACTTTCTGAGAGAGAGAGCAAGCTGAACGAATCGAACCACGACATTTCCATTTGTATTCTGCAAAGTCACGAGATCATATCATCATTAACTTTCTGAATCTACAGGAGGTCTTGGATTCTTGTAAGAATAGGGTATATATCAATCCAAATTGGAAAAGCAGGACAATATAAGTGTCAGTGCAAAAGAGGGGAGAAAACAGAAAAGGGTAGTGCGACAAGAAATAATCAAGAGACATGATCCTTCATTAAAAAAATTGGGGTCCCACCTTCAGTTGAGAAGAAATAAGGGTCAATGTGAAAGAATGAGCTATGGCCTCAAGATTTGGAGGCGTGTTGTCAGGAAGGCTGGATTGCATCCAGAAGGCAGAAAGCAACTGTGAAATCTGATCCTCATTTAGCGTCAAAACACATGGTTCCTGCAAAAAAAATAAGTACATATAAGGACCTCCTAAGACTGCAACGAAGATACTTGCAGAAACAGGAAGTCACATACAGCAGCCTCAGCCGACCCCGGTGTCCCTGTAGTCCTCTCGAAGATTGAGCTAATCTTGTAAACGTTTGGTGAATTCTTTCTAGCCCGTCCATACTTCCACTCTTCTTCCGAGGTGTCCTGTTCTTTGCAGTCATCATGCACTCCATTTACTTCAGGACCATCCTTCTCTTTCCGTAGCCTTTCAAGTAGTGCAGAAATCGAAGCAAATGTAGATGCTGTACCAGAACGCCATCTTCTTGGTTCACAAATGTAACTAGGTCGTGCAGATGCTTCTCGTCCAAGACAGATTGAATTCGGAATGAGAAGAACTGTGAATATCTGATGTGCTTCAACCCGCACTTCAATATTTGCATGCAACATTGCTTTCAAAAGCTGAACAAGAAGTGATTCTGGGAAAGCCTGCATGGAAATTTTTTGTAGGATCACAGTGAGATTCATTTAAATGCCAACTTTGATAGATAGCCATTATGAACTATTTTGCTGAGTAATACTTCAACAATAAACGGAACTATTTATCCGATGATCACCTGCTGGGAGCTTGAAGACGCTGAAGACAATGAAACCACATGAGCAAGAATCATTAGTGATCGAATGGTTGCACGAGCAACAATTCCACAGGACGGTAGTTTCTCTAGCGACATTGCCATGTGGTCAAGTAGCGGTTGGGCATCAGCAATCTACAAAAATGAATGCAAGTTTTAGAAGGAAAACCCAACTACACTGAACACAGTTTGCATGCTTTTAACTTACCCCCTTCGCAATTTCAAGCAAGCAATCTTCGATGGAGTTCTGGAGTGAAGCATTCAGATTCAATTCCTGATCTCCGATTGGTTCAGCTGAGGCTTGAAGGCTCTTCCTCAAATGTCTACACAAGTCGCTGACAAATCCAACTTCAGCAAGAACTGTAACTGATCTAATCTGCCGAGCTAGACCAGCCGCAACTTGTACAACATTAGATTTGAGCTGCGGATCATGGGCGACATTTTTGTGGTCTAAATGGCGAATTACAGCAGATAACACCGACTTCTGATGTCCTGGAAATGAAAAATGCCATTAGAGCTTACCATTTGCTGCTGATCTCACATCAGAAATATAAATTCAATTAGGATACCTGAACTCTCCAGAAAATATGATGTGGCAGACAAAACTACCAGAGCAAGCCCCTGCTGTGGGGCCCAGTGATGTCCAGAATCAAAGTAGACAAACATTGGATCCAAGACACATCGCATTGTTGAGCTCTCTTTTGCTAGATCTACCATTCTTTGAACACAAATTTGTGCCCATACTCTTGGTTGCTCAATCTCTTCCCTACAACGTAAAGCGTAAAAGCATAAGGAAACAACATAAAGGGATCACAATACTCGCGCTGGATAATACAAATGCCTACCTAGTCAGAAGAGAAGGATCTTTCTTTTCTGGTCGAGCTCTGATGATCGAGGTGGAGCTAGAATCATTACCAACAATTGCACTTCTTTCACTTCTAACAACTTCATTCACCCAATTATGATGTGATTCACCTCTCTCGCCATCATTTTCAATACGAGAGTCAGGCTCGTAGTTATCCAAAGTGCAATGCACAATCTGCAGTTTAACTCAAGTTAAAACCAAATGCCCAGTAAAACAATAGAAGGGGATGTACTCGAAATCACTAACCTCATCCAAAGCAGGGAAGATATATGAGAACTCCGACATGAACCAGACCTTCAAGAAAATAAGTTAAAACGGGATACCAGAATTCTAGATAGCAACACTCGTGAACTGAAACAGGACAAACTTTTTTTTAGTTCACTAGAAGTATACCATGGCCGAGAGGCATTGGAGACTTGATGCCCTTAAGCTGCTAGGACTACCTTCTTCCCCATGCCTATGTGCCAGTTTACAAATCCTGGGAGCATACTTTTCAATGTTATGTGCATAAGTTCCATCAACCTGTTCAGCATTAACCATCAAAATTAATCCACCTGAAGACATCATCTACAACTTTTTCTTCCATCTCACTGCCAGAATTAATATAAAGTCAGAACAGAGAACACCACCTGACTATAGATAAACTTGGTTAAGGTCTGGCATCCAAGAATCGGCAAAGCATATTGATTAGGTCTCTCTAGCAGCTCATTGACAACATTCAACAAACTGACCGCGAAATATGCCCTGGAAGATAAAGAGACCAGCATTAAAGCAAATATACAGAATTCAGCCAGCAGCAATACAAGTATATTTAGACATATAAAAATAAATAGGAACAAAAAATCATGCTTTACTTACATCTGCTCCTTACAAATGCAAAGCAACTTATTGTAAACCTCCATAACGACATTGATGAATTTTGCATGGCCATTCCGCAGTTCTTTGCAGCATCTTTCTTCGAGATACTTGGCAATCTATTAAAATATGATGGGAAAATATGAGACACGGGTAGAGTTATGCCTTAAAACATCTTTCAGTGGAACTGCAGTGCAACCTTGGGAATTCGAATTGGATTTTTAGCCGCATATTCACACAACTTCGCAATTTTTCTCTCATTTGGGGGTGCATCCTGTCGAAGAAAGAGATCACAACATAAGTAAGCAATCCGAAAGATTCTAGTTTGATGGAATCACCCAACTTGATCCATATGACATCTACACACTGCTTCATGTCTTTCTTTCACCCAAATGCATCATGAAGATAAATCACACACAAAAAGTGCAGGTTATTTAGAGTCTCAGGCCATGCTAAGGAAACTAAACCAACAAAGAGCTTATTTCATTACACTCATCATACAAAATGATAACAGAATAAAAAAGGAAGTCTTCCAGAGAATCACTACAATATTTGTGCATGGCTCTCTTAAGTATTTGTGCAGAAGCTTCATACATAGGCAAGATATGAACTCATTGTTCAAACTCCTAAAAAACCTAGGCAGCAGTCAATCCAGCTTCCTCCAAAAACTAACCAGGGAAGATACTAACTAATAGCACCGGCTTAAGAGAGCAAAAAAAAGGCAGTAAAGAAAGAGGAACAAATTGTTGAGAGACACTCACTGGAGACTTTGGGAAGATTTCAGCAAGGAGTTTCTTGTATCTTTTCACAGGTTGCCGAGATCTGGACCTCAAAGCAGGGCAACACACGCACATCGTCCCACAAGAGGGGATTATCTTCCGGGAAATGATACCCATTGTCTGCACATTGTCAAAGGCAGGGAAGAAAAAAATGATTACAATCCAGGCCAAGTTTCTTACATTTCCGAGATAACAAAACTCGAAAGGAACTAAAACAACCACCTCCACTAAGCCAAGAGAATCAAGTCGTCACCCAAATAAATCAAAGCTAGAAATTGAACATTGGGAGATCAGGGACGCCACAACAAAGAATGCAGCTTGAAAATAAACATATCTGTGAGCATGCTCAACAAGTCGTGAAGCTGGAGCAACAACAACACAGTAAAGCTGAAATACCCAAAACCCTCGATGCAACACCAAAAACGGCCATGAAGGTTAAAACAGAAAGATAGGAAAGAAACGATTGTCACAAGCTGCATCACCAAGATCACCTCAAAGGATGCCCGCAATGCACAAGAGAGAGTGATCTAGGCAACCAACATGAACTTGGAGAAGGAAGAAGAAGAAGAAAAAACAACAGCAAAATGAAACGTATTTGATGTTACATACAATGCAAAGAAACCGACAGCAAACAGAACAAAAATTGATCTCCGACTGGAAACACCTTCACAAAAGCCCTTCCAGCAGCTCACGAAGGTAACAACTTTACGGCTCAAACTCACAAACCCAGAAGAGGAAAAGCCGATCTAACGTCGGTGAGGGCAGGAAAAAAAATTAAATAGGTTAGTATACCTATGGGCATATATATTGCCTCCGGAAGAAGGCAAAACGGAGATCAGGGAGAGGGAATGGGCGAGAAGCGTTGGAAGCAGGGAACAGCTCAACACAATAGGCACACAACAGCAGTGAAGAAGCTCAAGCATCAAGAGGATGGAATAACAATTGACAGATGAAGAAGAATGGGGGCAATGGCGCGTGGTTTCAGACGAATTTCGGAGAGGGGTGGGGGATTTTGGAAATGGGATAGAGAGGACTGAGTCTGAGAGAGAACGGAGAAGGAAAGGGAGGGATCACGTGGATGGATGACAGCTTTGAGAGAGAGAGAGAGGAGAGTAGCCTAGATTGTGGGGCAAGGGAGTGCTGTGTTGTCAGAGGTTGGAAGACTCGCTATAAGAAGAAATGATGAGAAATTCTTCATTCGTGAGACCATCGAGAAATTGAAAGGGAGGGAGACTCGGTTTGACCAGTCGGTTTGGCTAGGGTCAATTGAGTTAAAGTAGGTCGTCGTTAATTCGATCGAATGGTTAAGCGAGTTTAGATTTAATTAGTACTGTGGCAATGCCATATTCTTCGGTCAAGGCAATTGCATATCTGATCGAACTTGAATAACACTACACTATGATTTGATTATGCAAGTAACTATTATCAATTATATCATAATTGTATAATGGTTCGAAAACCGAAAGGTAGTTGCTCTTTCTTCAGCTTTGGCTGCCGCCATTGACAAGAGAACAAGCAATCATAATTCAGTAATTCACCCAAAAAAAAAATATTCATCACACTAGTGCCCCCAAGTTTTGAATCTTTCAAATTTGAGTGGTGCCTCTCTCACCCTACACTTTTACAGTGAGTCTGGTACTAGTGCAACAAACAGACACGTGTGGCGCTGTTGCTTTTTGGTTCCTCAGTCTTTGGCATGCTAAAAAGCATTCACCTTTTCTTCCTCCCTTTAGTTTGAAAATACCAATTATAACCATTAAAAAAAAACTCATTTAGGTTCCCATAAAAAAATTAAAAAAAATCCCCAACTATTTGATTAATCTACTAATATGACTAATCCTATGATTTTCTAGCTGGGGTTAGTAACCAAGTATCCTTCTGGTTTATATTGTTCTTGGGGACATCACATTAACCAGAGGCTATTTATGCATAACATTGCTTTTGCATAAGGAGCTGGCGATTCTATCAATGAATGGTTGCTCAAGGTTATGCAATTGAAGTCCAAAGCTAGCTTTCTACCAAGAAAAAAATCCAAAGCTAGTCATTGGTAGTTTTCCAGAAATAGCACTATTTAAAAATAGCACTCAATCTCGAAAAATTCCAAAAATAACATCATTTCTAAAAAAAAATTGTTGGGTGGGGACGCAGTTTTCGACCAAAACGCTTGGGTTGGGGGTGGTTTTCTAGACCGCTTGAGTTGGGGGCAGTTTCCTAGACCGCTTGGGTCAGGGGCGATTTGGTCTCGCCTTCGTCACGAAAAAACGTTGTTTGCTACCCCGAATGAGTTTTTTCCTGATTTTGTCAAACTTTAGACGACCATAACTTTGTGCTCCAAAATCCCAATGTCATGAATTTTTTTTTCATTTCGCATAACTTTTTTTTTTCAATTGCCTAGCTGGGATTCCGCCTCAATAATAAAATTCTTAAAAAGATACAAAACAAACATAAAACAACCCAAAACAGCTAGTCTCTTCTTCCTCTCTTCCACCAAGCCCTCGCCCTCTGCGTTTCCATCTTTCTCAATTCGAGCCGAGAAATCAACAAATTCATCCACCCAATTGATGATATTTCGGGTACTAATTAGACTTAGAGCAAACCAACGGAAAAGAAGGAAAAGGGGAAAAACGCCAATTTTGATGGGTCACCAACCCTAACTTGTTATTTTGATTCGTTGTCGGACATGAAGAGACGACGATGATAGCAATGATGATTCAGTGAAAGCGGGAGAGAGATTCAATGTATGTAATTTCCAAACCTAGCGTCGCCGCTGCACCACCATCTATTTTGTCACCGTTGTGTTGTCGCTACCATCGTCCTGCCATCGTCGCCTGAAATCCCTGTTGCCATCATCCTACGCATCGCACCCTAAATCGTCCATGGCACCTACTTAAGGAAATCACCATCATCGTTTTCGTCTTTGAGCGAGGATTCTTCCTCGTTGTTGTTCATGGTGGCTATTTCATAAAATGTTGACCTTCAAATCTCTGTCGTCGGAATCATAGATGAGATGAGGGTGGTGGCTTGGTTGGTTGGTTATGTCCTGTAGTGCTGGGTTGGTTTTGGTTTGGGTTGTTTTAGGTTGTTTTTGTTTATTTATTTTTTTTATGAATGTTATCAATGAGGTGGAATTAGGGCTGCCTATTTGGTCCGGACTGTTTAATTTTACCCGAAACCCGACCGTATAACCCGTACCGGGACCGGATTGGGACCGGATAGCAAACAATCCAATCTCATATTCGGGCTTAGATTTGAGGTAAAAAAACCCGGATAAAGACCGGATAAGAGACTTCCAACACCTAAAATCAAGATCAAATTGGGACCGGACCGGATCAAGACCGGACTGTATCCAATCCAATCTTTGGTCCTTATATTTCCGAAAAGACCGGACTGGGACCGGATCAATTTGGTCCAATTTAACCGGACTGGACCGTATAGCCACCCCTAGGTGGAATGCTGACTAGACAAATCAAATAGAAATTTGGATGGAGACTAACAGATGTGACCATTCTGGACAAGTTCATATTTTTATTACCATGTTGTTACAAATTAAGGATTTGTGATCTTTTGTACTAAGTACAAAGTTTTGTGACCGTTTATGATAATTACCCAAAAGAATTTAGTGCATCGGCAAAATATTCTTATATTACCTTAAATTGGTGAGTTCGGTCTCTTCCATAAGTACATTTGAATTTATTATTTATTATAAAAGTTACTTGTATTCTTGATAGAGCCAAAATCATGGGAGCGGATAGGGTGCTAACACCTTTAAGTGTTAACACCATGTTAACAATTTCATTAAGAGAATTATAGTAATCCAACCCATATTCTATCATTCCCCATCCCTTTGTCTTAACATTAGCGTATGTTCAGCTCCTCCGTCGCCATCGCACCTGTGCCCATTGAGCAGCTCCCCTCATTGACAAGCCACCTGCCCTTCGTCGAACTCCAGTTGTCACAATCCACCGAGGTGTCCTTTACTCTATCCGCCGACCTCTTCTCCACCTCCTCTGCTCTATTCATCGAGGGATATCTTCTTGTTGTCTCTCGTGTGGCGGTGAGGTAGATGGGAGCCCTGACGTCAACGAGTTTAGCGTACTTGTCGACCTTCAAGAAGCAACCGATCCAACTCCAACCCACAACGAACTACAGATCGGCTTTCATGCTTCTAGTGGTGCTCTTCTTGGATTGACGAAGCCAAGCAATTTTGCTCTTCCAGCATAACCCTTACCACAACCATCAGTTTCATTGCTCATCAAAACTTTCCCCCAAATCGCAATTCATATTGCTCAAACTATTGATTCCACAACAATCAGATCGAATTCCCATATGGAGAAAGCTACAGGTTGCGAGTGTCAACTACAGAAAGGAGGGGCATTCTTTTTAATTACTTGGACTAGAGACGAGTTTCTTTTGTGGCTTTTTTTACCAAATGAGATTTCCATTCCATCAAAACGATAAGAGTACAAGCTAACTCTATCATAGCAAAAAAAGAAATGATGTCTAAGATCGAAATCCACTCTTGAGGAAGAGAACCTTTAGCATTTTCCTTTGCGACTCAATCAGCATATCGATTAGCACTCCTTGGAATGAAAGCAATCTTAATCCCACCGTTAGCATGTAGGATTTGATGCATCCATTGGATCCAAGCACTAACTTGCCAAAGTCCCTTTTTGTTTGGGGAATGTAAAACATTAGCTAAAACTTGGTAGTCCGAGAACATTATGGACAAAAGGCGGGTGCTATCGACAAACTGCATTGATGTCAAAAGGGCTTTAGCTTCTGCAACTATATCTGAGGAACAGAAAAGAGAACCAACTATACCATCCACAACTTGTCCATGGGGTTCTTAATGACAAACCCACAAGCCACCATTTGTGAATTCGGGACGAAAGCTCCATCATAGTTGATTTCCAATTGGAAAGAATATGGCGGGGGAGAAGGAGCATAATGGTTGGGAACCTGTTAGTTATAGATGGGGGAGGGAGTCAAGAGGGAGAGGGGGAGACCAATCTGCAAAGTTCCTTAATCCGTTGGAGGCTTGGAGCAAGTGACAAAGTTTCAAGGGGGGACACCTTGGAAGACTCTTTCGTTTCTTGCAATCCAAATGGCCCAGAGGCAAGCAATGACTGTTGTCACTGAAATATTTGGCAGGTTCTCATGAATGTGAAAAATCCACATCAACACATGGAGAGAGTCCGCTGTGAGGCGTGAGAGCATTCAAAGAAGCAGTGATTCACATCCTCCTATGTCACTTCACAGATTGGACACAATGGTGTAAGGTTGTATCTTCTTTTCCAAAGGGTTTTAATCGTTTCCACTACATTTCTCAATAGTCTCTATATGAAACTAGCGATTTTTGGTGGCAGGGAGAGGTTCCAGAGTCATTTTCATGCTTTGGAATGACAAATAGGGTGATTAGGATCATGCGTTCCAAATCGATTTCTCTCAACCACTCTAAAAGAGTGGTAAGCCGACTTCAAAGAAAAGAACATGAGCTTTCATGGCTCTAAATCTATATGTATTTAGAAAAATTCATCCCTATTGGGATTCTCTTCATTGCCTCAACTTCCTCAGATGTATAGCTTTGGCTAATGAGGTCAATGTTCCATTCCCTCTCATCATCTTTTTTCCATTGATATGCCCATTGTTATTGACGTTGGCTTGGTAAAAGCTTGAAATGTGGGATTCCAGGAACCCATGGGCCATTCTCTGATGAGATATTTCTTCCACTACGTACCAAGGTTCTTCATCACTCCTGACTTCAGAACCTCCTTAGCCTCGCAGATGTTTGACCAAATCTAATAAGATTTTCACAGATGACATGAAATCCGAGTTTGGAAAGTACAGTCCTTAAGGAGTTTGATGCAAGTCTCTTCACCTGTAGTAAGAATCCTTGAACCTTGCTTTGCCAATAGGGCAAGGTCGAATTGATGGAAGTCCTTAGACCCCAAGCCTCCTTCTTGTTTAAGTGCAGTCAACACACTACCCTTCCTCTAATGGATATATGATTTATCCATGTCACTTCCCCAGAAAAAGCCTTGAGTCTTGTAACCCCCTTTGGAAGGAGGAAACAAGACCTAAGGTAAGTAGGGTAACCCTAGAAGACCGATTTAAGAAGATTTTTCTTCCTAGCTTGAGAGAGGACGAGCCTTTTAATGTCTGCCCAAGCTTTCCCATCCTACTAAGAAGAGTTAAGATTACCTCTTTTTTTGGATCTACCCCATTCAGTTGGAACAACAAGGT